TTAAAAAGCACATAATTTAATAAAAACAGATAAAAACTTTAAAAAAAACTTCTCTTAAAAGCTTTTAGCTTTTAGTTTTTTTTTCATTATAAAAAAAAAATTTCATCAAAAAAACGTTTTTCAAAATCTAGCCTAATTTATACTTAAAATAACTTTTAATTAAAAAAAAAAAGAATTTAAACAGGCACTCATTCTATGTGACAACCTCGTAAGTTATTAAGGTAGACAAAACTCGTGGTAAAGTACAAGATAGTTAGCTTACCAAAAAAAAGTACAGGATAGTTACCACAGCAAGTGCAGAGCATAGCATTTTTATTTTGTCAGATAAGTTTCCTTGTAAATTCATCCTAGGGTCTGTTTGACCACAGGGGTTTGTTACTGCACGATGGAAAATGTCGGACACTGACTAAAGTGTCACGTTTGGACAAAAAAATTACCAGACTGTCACGTTAATAGTAAATTTTGCCAAAATACCACGCGGCATAATTCGCTACACAGTGTAGCGAAATATGCCACGTCAGAATGTGCAGAACCAAAAACGCCACATATCAAATTTTAAGAAATTCGCTACATAAGGTAGCGAATTTCTCAAAATTTGACAGGTGACATTTTTGGTTCTGACGTGACATAATTTGTTACACTGTGTAGCAAATTATGCCGCATGGCATTTTGATCAAATTTATTGTTAGCGTGACAGTCTGATAATTTTTTTGTCCAAACGTAACAAAATGGTCACTGTTCCGAAAAATGTCACCCAAAATCTTTATAGATGGTACCCTTGGTAGGTGGGACCCATGACAAACGTGTTTCATGTTGAATTTCACCTCGCTGTCACTGGTAGGTGTTGTCCCTAAACTTAATTTGTGTGTCTCAAGGGTGGTAATCAAAAGTTAGCTAGAAAAATTTTCAAAATTAAATTTTCAGTGAGAAACAAAAATGGGTATTGATGTTGACTCACATCATAAACATATTTTTCTCTCAATAGTCTGAGAGGTAGAAGGGGGGAAAAATTGGTCATTGATGGTGAGAGGCTTTGAATTGCAGAAAATAGAGACATAAAATCTTACAGTTGTAGAGCATGAAATTATACATGGTTGGTAAAACAAATGATGGTTTTTATTTTTATTTTTATTTTTTTTCGTTGGGTCATTGTTTTTCTCCCTAAACTAAGAAAGTAAAGTTGCCTAAGCCCAAAAAACATGTTATTCCCTTCATCCTAAGGTGAAAGGGAGAAGGGGTCCCAAATGAAAGTGGGAAGTAGGTGATATAGCAGTGGCAACTTTACTTAGTAGGGCACCTACCCTAATGATCATTATAGTGCCTTATAAATCTTCCAAAACATTCTCATTTGGTAGGGCCTAATTTTCTCGTCATTTTACAAGGACAATCTTAAAGCTATTTCATTGAGAACACATTTTTCTTTCTGTTAGGGACATGGATTTCAGTATCTGATTATGACAATTGAACTGCAAAATTCAACATGAAATTAGGCAATGTAAGAACCATGTCAGTTAAACTTAATTTTTCTTCAGTTGTGGCAGATAATAAATATCAAAGGTGATTTATATTACAAGCAAACTTGGAAAGAAATAAGGTACCGAGGAAAAGAAAAGAAAAGAGAAAAACAACTGAACAATAATGCTATAACTATATTTATAATAAGAGTTTTATTAATCTCATGTTAAAAGAGATAAGTTATCTCATGTTATAAAGATAAATTTGTGGGCTCCACCACCTGAAAAAAAATAAAAATGGCACAGTTATCGAAAAGTATGTAAGAGAAAAAGTTACCACATGTAACATAAGAGTAGTTTTTCTCCTATAATAATCTAATTACCTTGCCTGGGGGAATGGAAAAATTTATCAGAACTGCTTAGAACTTTTTAAAGTGCTCATGCAAGCAATTCGCTGAAGAAAAGCTTGGTGCTACATGTACTTAAAGCCAGCTTCACCAAATTGATGGTTCATGTTCTTAGCACTTTTGTTGGCCAATCCCAATATAACGCTTACTCTTCAGGTTGATTTTGCACTATCTTTATGTAATAAAGAAAGGGAAAGTGTGCCATTTTAATGTTAGAAATATCAAGAATTAATTATAATATTAAAAGGATTTTATTATAATTATAATATTAAGATTCTTGATATTACCTATTAAATGTTATATGACCCAATTAATTACTGATACACTTAATCTCAATCATTGATTTGGTATATGATGGACTTAACAGATTATGAGTTATGAAATATATATATATTAAGAATTGTCATCTCTCTCCTTTAACTCTAATGTCATTATCTCCATCAGAATATATATCAAAGTAAAGAAGGCTTAGAGAGAGAAACTACCCTAACACAATTGCTCACAAGATGCTGTTAATCCTTCATCATTGTTTTCGGGTATGTCTTTATCTCTTATATGTATGTGAAAATCATGTATTCCCAAGATCCTTTATCATGTTCTTATTTTATGATTTATGAACATGATATATTACACAAACTAACATTTAAATAATGTAAAGTTATATTATTTTAAATGAGAGAAAGAGATAGATTATAGAGGAGAGAAATTGAACAAAAAAATAAAATAAAAATGTGAGTCTCACCCTTTTTGTGAGAGTAAAATAACATAAATTGTATCATTTATAAAAACAAACACTTTTGTCGGAAAAAAAGGGATCCCATCAACCAAATAGAAAATTGACATAGTTCAGAAAATGAAGCACAATTAATAATTTAATCTCAACCAGAGGCAATTATGCTGTTGCTTCCGAGCGAGGCTTCTCTCTATGGATTAATAGAGTTTTCCGTGCTAGAAGACTATATAAAACAGAAATAAGCCATGGTTGTTTTGTTTGGTTGAGAATAAATTTGTTTTTGTCCGAAAATCATGATTCTCATAAATATAGTGAAAAAATCATTTTTTTCAAAAATGTTATTAAAAAGGTATTTGATAGACTAAATTATTACTGGGATTTTGTCCCAAAAAATATAATTTTTTTTCAACATCTACGATTCTAAGAATACCATCTCGGGATGACATTTTGGATGACATCCAAAATCTCGGGAAAAAAATTGTACACAAAATCAAATCCCGAATTTTTTTTCAAAAATCTTATACCAAACGTGAGTAAATAGGATTACCACTATAATTTTTCTAGAAATCTCAAAAAAAAAAATTCCTACCAAACACCTCCAAAGGGTTCGTCAGTTTTCCTCTTACAAAACATACTTTTTGTCCTCCAACTTGTTTTTAATTACGTATTTCGGGAAGTACATAGTTATAACTTTAAAGTTATTTTTTTTTCTTTTCTCCATGTCAGCAAAAAAATATTAATATTATAACTATATATTCCATAGAACATATAGTAAAAAATGAGTTACACGACAAAAATCTCATTCCTACAATATAATACTTATATTTCCCACTAACTAATTAACAAATGTTATAGAAAGGAAAACTTAATTATGAAAGAGATTAAAACTTAAACTTTTTAAACGGATTAAATTTGGGTACCAGTTAGGAGTGTAATTTCTTTCTGGGGCTTAGCCCCTCTTTATTTAAAAAAAAAATAAAATAAAAAAATTAGTCCCTTCCATATACTTGCATTTGTAATTTCTTCATTTGTTGGCATAAATCAAAAAATATGAAGAACTCAAACGAAGAAAAACGCCGCTTGCATTGTTGAAGAAAAATAGAAAAAAACTAAGTGGGTGGGATGCTATAAGAAAAAAAGAGATAAATAAAAAAAAAGGAGATATATCCACTTCCATATACTCGCATGAGATTTTTTATTTTTTATTTTTTTTGTAAAAACTCGCATGAAAAATATTAAATCCAAAATAAAATATTAACTTAATATAATAATTGTTTTGTCTCTTTAATAATTGTTCACATTCTTAATAAAATATAATGGATCCATCCCTTGACACGTCGCTATATGATTAGGTGTTTGTAGTTTTTGCAGACAAAGTTGTCAGATTAACACTTTCCATTTGCATTTGTTTTTTTCTTTATCTTCTTTTGAAAAAAAAAAAAAAAAACTTGGTATTATGAAATAATAAATCCTGCTAATATATTATTATATGTAACTGTTCAGAATACAGCACCACATTCAAAGCATCTTTCCAATAATTAAATCATACTAACCTGCAAACCAATTATAGACCCATCAATATTAAAATGGTAAGACCAGAACCCAGAAATTTTTGTTAAACCTTACTAAATGGAATTTTGCTAACAACCTCTGAGAAAAAGATTAGTCTAATATCTCGAGTATCTTTTCCAAACCTGAATTCCACTACAAACCCCTTATCTTATTCACAAAATTAATAATAAAAGTTGTGAAATAATAAAGCTCAATGATTCATTGGGTTTAGTCAGAAGTTCACCACTGCCAACCTGGGATTCCTTTAATGCTCACATATATTAGTTAAAAATGTGTTTTCTTTGAAAGGGGTTGTTCTAACTTCTAACTTTCTGACCTCTATAACCTGTAATCCTTTATTCTTATATTTTTCTATTTCACACAGTAAAAAAGGCACAGAAGCTTCTGCTTTTTGGTGAACTTAAGAAAAGTTAGAGGGAAAAACATCAAGATAACTGTCAGAAATTATGGTGGACCCCAACTCAAGCTAACCAAAAGTCCTAATCATTCAAATTAGAATTTTCATAAAAAAAAAGAAAAAGAAAGACCCCACTTATTAATACAGCTGGTTACCAACACAAGTGAGAATCACATCCACCAGATTGCACGATTTAGCATGGGTTAATTGACAAGACCTTTAATGAGAATTTAATGAAGACCCACGAAAATTCTTAGTGGAATGATGTGATGTATGAATTATATAAAGCATACAATAAGACAAAGTGAGAAGGGATAATGATAGCTGGTAGAAAAACTCCTTCTTTAATTAGCAATATATCATACAATTGGTGCCTTAATAATAAGAATTTGCACCAAAGAGAATACAGAATCGGTCCTAAAGATTTTACAGTGGAAAAAGTTGTAAAAAAATAAAAATAAAAATGAAAAGAACAGCCCCTGAAGATTAAAAATTAAAATCGTGAAAAGGGAAAAGGAATGGCTAACATAAAGACAAAAGAGGTTTCTATTAGACCTAGTGATAATAATGGCTTAATAATTCATGGGGTTGTTCGAATTAAATCTCTTCTTGTTGTGTACAGCAGCACTCTTCCTATTCCTCTTGGCTTCAATTCAGGCGTAATGAATGGTGATTCAGATCTTAACTTTTCATAGGGGTACTTGATTTGAGCCTGCATTGGACAAAAAACTTAATATAAAGATCAATTTTTTGGACCTAATGAAAATGATATTTCATTCATTCATATATTTTATCATGCTTTATTACCGTTGAAACTCTGAGATTGTATTGGTCTTTTCCCATTTGAAGTTTGGCCAAATCCCATCTGAACAATTGTGTGGAGGTCATCCTCAGAGAATGTCATTGGATACTATAAATCATTTAATAAAAAGAGTTAGAAAAAGTATATGAAACTGCAGAAAAAATGGACCTTTTTCATTCACTTTTTTTAAAAAAAAAAAAAAAAAACTATAAGAAATTGATTACCTGAGCGCCCCCTTCATTAAACCCATTTAGGGGATGTAACTGCGTGCCAAGGTTTTGGCATAGACCAGTATCTAATGGGTCCACTGAGCTGTGGGTCACAGTTCCATTAGGAATGTTATTGTGGATTACTGGGTTTTGCTGGTGCTGTTGCCCATAAAAGGCTGGCCCTGAGGAATCTATTGGGAATATTGGGTGTGCCAAAGAATTATTTGATTGAAATATCTGAAATCACCGAAAAGACAATAAGTCCTAACTCAGGAAAAAGCAAAGGCTTTTATTTATTTACTTTTTTTTTTTTTTTTTTTTTTTGTTGAAAAAGCAAACCCATTGTCTAGAGCCCTTAAACTTACATCTTTTGAGATTAGACTCTCTATACTAAAATCCAGCCTGGTGTTAACAGAAGCCAATTTCATAGACAAAAACTGCCAACAGGAGAAAAAAAAGCATACATAATGAGTAAGAAATTTAACATTAAACATGATTTTAGATGCTTATTGTTCGGACTGATTTACCTCAACTTGACGCTGCAATGATTGAACATAGTTTATAATTTCATCAAGCATAAGTGCTTTGCCAGTGACCTACAATGAATAATTCATAACCAAATTAGTAAAGGAACACATTTATCCACACAAAATCAACCTATTTTTGAATTCTGATTTAGCTTAATTATCAGCATACCTTATTGCAACCTGGGACAAGATCTTGGAGAAGCTTCATCCTTTCACTGATTTTCTCCCTCCGAACCTTTTATCAAAATAAATTTGCACAATGTCAAAATGAAAGCCTATACATGTTTGTTGACAGTGTCATTCAGAGAAAGAAAATGACATTGATCCTCACTCTTTCTGCAAGACTATGGCTATCAGTAGCTTGACCTCTTCTTGCTCTAACATGAATGTAATCTTGTATAGGCTCAGGAGGTTTTGAGTTACTCTTGTTCTGTTTCTCATCAGCTGCATTACTAGTACCCCCTTTGGACTCTTCCTCTGCCTTCACTGAAGCATTTTTATTTCCCTCACCCTCATTTGGCTTGTTGCGCTTTGCATTTGAGTCTTCACTAGCTTCTGCAGCCTGAAGTGAAAGACCCTTTGGGATTTAGGAAATGCCCATCTGAATTAAAAAGTGAAAAACAAAACAATTTTGACATAAAAGTTCTTACCATGTGAGGAACGGTAGAGGCTGAAGTTTCTTTGGCTTTTCCTTTGGAAGAAGCTTTTCTTTTCCTGGAATTCACATGAGGGGAAGGTTTCACCCCACTGTCCCCATTTGGGGTTTGCTCAGAGATTGTAGATTCCTCTTGTGAATTGGCCACTTCCATTAGGTCCTGCAATGGAGAATTCTTGTGCTCCTCTTGGGTACCCATTTGAGATCCAAGCACTTTCAGTGATGGACTACTTGAGACTCTAGGAAGCTTCTCATTTTCCATCAATGAAGGAGATCTCTGAGTCAATTCAGCATTGTTAAGCCCCAATTGGCTAGTCCTGCCACTGAAACTTCTACTTCCAAAGCAAGAAAACTTTGCAGCCCTTTCTGCAAACCCAGGATCAGCTGAGAATTCTGCCACACTGGAATTCAAGGCCACTGAATTATTACCCAAACTGGGTAAGTTCTCTTTCACCAAATGGTTCACCACTGTGGGGATGTTCACCTTAGGAGGAGAGCTCCAAGGGGTGCTATAACATGAAGTATTGGTGCTGTTATTGGCATTGATGTAGGAAGATGCACCAACCAAAGGTTGAGAATGAGGTGAGATCTCATCAGAGTTACCACCACCAATGTTTCCCAATTTTCCAATCAGTTCCCTGATAACAAAGTTCTCATTGGACATGTTGGAATTGGAAGCTGCAGGAGATGACACCATTGAACTCATTGCAGAATCAAACTGAAGACCATGATCCGTTGACTTTTCCCATGTGGGGGTGTAAAAGCAATCTTGGGTCTGTTCAGATGAACAATTCAAAACTGTTACTTGATAATCCATGGCAGATGGAAGTGATTGCTGCCAAGTGGGCATTGAAGGAGGTGGTGAAGGCTCAAAATGCAGTTGAGGGGGGACACCAGCATTGATAAAGAACTTATTTTCCATGAAGAAAGAGGTGAAGCAGATCAAGCAAACAAAATAAAGAAGGAAGTTTGGTGGTGAAGAAATCAAGTTGAATGAATGTTATGTGTCCCTGAAAGGTGAAGGCTAAAATGGTTATGAATTACATTGGAGAAAAAAGAAAGAGGGTGAATTGGGTTCGGGTGGTGGAATGGAGTGATCAATAAAATGGGTCAATTTGGTGGGATATGAGTGGAAAGGAGAGAGGTGGGTTGGGTGTGAAAAGGGAAATGTATCTGATAAAAAGCTAAGCAAAAGTAGAGAGAGAGAGAGAGAGAGAGGGAAGAAGGAGGGGGAGGGAAGGGGATTGATGAGGCCTAAATACAGATCCAACACAAAGTTTAGTCCAAGTTCTATATGTTTGACCTTATATATATATATATATATATATACATGAAGGATATTTTTACTACCAAATTTTTTCATTATCAACTTATTTACCTATCTAATTACTATTAGATTAACATTTTCTTTTTCTTCAAATTTTTTTTAACATTCTCTCTCTTTGATTCAATGATGACGTGATAGGTAATAAATTAGTAATAAAAATTTTTAATAGTTAGAATATTATTACTAATATATATATATATATATATATATATATATATATATATATATTTTGGTGTTGTTTATATTATATAGAAGCAGCATTCAGTAATTAATGTTTTTTATTTTTTTCTCTCTCTTATTTTGTGTTGTGTGTTGAGTTAGAGAGTATTACCTCTCCCGTAAATGACGGACGAGAGTGTTTGCCGGGCCTCGGACGTCACAATCCCAAAATGTCTCCTTTCCTTTTCTCAAAATAAACAGTATCCCAAGACTCTGCCATGCATGCCACGGAAGGTACTCTTCCTCTTATAATTTCTCCTACTCTTATATGTACGATATTGTTAACCTTTATGCATGTACTTTCTGTTTTACACAGTTTTATTTATGTTTTTCAAAAGTAATGCAAATTTTTTAAGTAGTGTATTTAGGGGTGTTAAAAAAGTGAAGCCCCTTTGCATCGACTCGTGTAGGCTTCATCTAGTTTATGTGTTTTGGTTGTTGGATATAGAGTTATACTTGTATAAAAATTTATTTAATAAAAAAAAACCTTAGATGCCAATTCAAAAATTTGACCTTAAAACCTGTTAGGCTGACGTATTAACTCTGCTTTTTTTTTATACATACTAACCCAATTTTCACTTCCATCATCACGCCCAGCCCACTCAAGCCATTAAGCAACGGTTCTTCGTCATTCTCTTTGTTGAAGTCATCTCCAAGAATTTCACCATTATTTGCCCTTTGGATTTTGATGCTCACCGACAAGTGTACCGATCGCACAAGTAATACAGTGATAATAAAAGTATCGTCTCCACAGAAATTGGGATCAAATATCAAATAATTGTTCCTTTTAAGATGGAAAAAGTTCAAATAGGTGTGACAAATATTGTTGATTTGATTAAAAATAAGAGATAAAAGCAAGAACGTATTTTTGGAATTTTTGTGATGAATAATAAAAATAAAAATAAGGATTGATTTGTAAAAGTATGAGAAAACATTGTAGCTAGAGTGCACTCACCAAATGATTCTCACTTCTTACTTTGGATTGATTTACAATACTCATTTATATAATTACTTAGAAAAATTATTATCTAAAAATATTCAGTGGTTAACCCTCAATTCCTTGCAAGATTAACCCTTTAACCCTAATTGGAACCCCAATTTCTTGCAATGTTCCTTATGGCATTAAGCAATGAACTCAATAATTTAAGCATCTGCAATCAAATATACATATATTCGTAGCATGCATATAAATTGTTATCCTACCCCCTTTCAAGATCAAAATCCCAATATTCCTATCTAGGGTTCTAACCCTCAAACTATCATCAACTATTAGATTGATCAGTTCTAACAACGAAGACAGAAATTACGCACAGGGTAAAGATAAAGATAATTATATAAACGAATAATTATAAACCAATCCGTTGTAACAAGGGTTCACATAGGGTTCGTGACCCTAACTACAATAAAAAGGAACTAGCCAACCATTATCATGACTGACCTATCAATATTCAACATGAACTGAAAATTGGAAAATAGGAGAACAAGATGAACAAGATCTTCACAAGACTCTATCTCTGAGCACAAGCGTCGTCTCTGAAGAATTAGTGTTCTTCATTCTGTGTAAAACATCCTATTTATAAGCCATCTTTCCTTCTTCCAAGTTTGCCCTTGTAAAAACTCGGTCCTGTAAAATCTCAAACTGGCGCGGGTCCGCGCCACTGTGGCGCTGGTCCGCGCCATTTTTCTTCCCGTGGTACTGTGTCACTTTTTTCCAACTGGCGCAGGTTCGCGCCACTGTGGCGCTGGTCTGCGCCAGATCCCTGGTTCTTGGCCCTGCATCGCGGCGCTAACTTGCGTTAGTTTAGCACTAAGTTGCGCCGTTCCTCTCGAATTTGGCCCACAAATTTTGATGCAGCAAGGAACTTCCACCCGTGTGGAGTCGCATCACTAGGCTTTTTACACTTTCGTAGTTTCCACCTTTTCCCCCCTATATAATCATAACAAATAGGTGAGAAATGTCATTGAGATGGAAAAGTCAATATAATCAGCAAATATGTATAAAAAGTGCTCTTTTATGACTTAATTCTCATTATTTTCAGCTTGGAAAACTACATCTGCCTGAGGCACATCAGATTTCTGCCATCTCCGAGCACTTCACCTTTTTCTTTTGTTGAAGGTCTCTCTTCGACTCTCGGTGGTTCCCAGCGATTGAAAGTCTCAGATTTCACCATTGAAGGTCATCGATCTCTTTATTCTCTTCATGCAACCTCTGTTTTCCACCATCCGACGGAGCTTAAGGCCGACGATGAAGTCAACATCAACATTTGCTGATCCAATGGTTCTAAGTTTTTCATTCTGAATGATTTTGTTCAATATTATGGTGTTTGGATATACATTAAATTCATGAATCTTTGTGGAATTATTTGTGTTGTTGATTGTATATTCAGTTTGGTTAAAAAAAATTGTCATAATTTTTTTTAATAGGCTAAGCTAGACTTTTATTTTTTGTAAATAAGTCAGGCCACAGGTCGATAATTATATTCATAACAGGTTACAGGCTAGGCTAGTCTGACATATTTAAATACAGACTTAGCCTTTCAAGACCAAAGTCAAGTCTGGTCTGGCTCAGCCCATTAACATCCCTAAATGTATTCATTTAAACTTTTTTTATGACGAAGTTTAATTTTTTTTTATTTTTAAAGTAATAATTCAAATCATCTTATCCATTGACAAATTAACGGTGAGACATGTTATGAACCTGTTATACATGCCCATTCCACTAGTTAGTCTTTGAAACCCATGAAAGGAGTTATATCCTTACATCCTTAAAATGAGACAATTACATCTGCATCATAGTGAATCTCACTCTCCATGCACACCCACCTCATGCATCATGTGTGGATGCTTGCCTCAAACCTAATGAGACCCATAATGACAAAATTATTAAGGTTTCCTCTATTACTCATCATTGGAGAATCTTCTTCATATATATATATATATATATATATATATATATATATATATATATATATGTATGTGTGTGATGAGATCTGTCTTAGTGAATTATATGTTGAATTCTCATACATTTTAGGAGCTGATTTGAATTAAATTTATATGCTTTGATATAATTTTCCATGTTTCAAATATAAAGGCCATTAGAATGAAATGAACATATATTGGGCTAAGTTAGTGTTATAGCTTGTGCATAATTACTTGGTGGATTATTTTTGTGCAGGATGACCTACATTGGATGAAAAGAAAGCTGATTAAGGAATGAAAACAAACAACCCATTTTAAGATAAAAAGGCAGAAGAAATTCTAAGGCTAAAACATGGGAACTTAAGGAACGCAAAAGGACGAAAAAGAAGAATATTTATTCTTCTAACAAACTTCATGATTGCAAAAAGAGAGAGAAATTCTAATAGAAAAAGAGTCACACAACCCATACACCCAAGGGAGAAAATGCAAAACGTGAAGAGATCCACACAAGGAAACCCATTTGTCCATATGATTTAAATTATTTTGGACCTTATCAAATAAGACCCACTGAATTAAAAGGAAAAATGAAACCCGGACGAAGAAGGAAGAAAAGGGGATGATGAGATACCTTTAGATCTATAAATAAAGGATACTTTTGAATAAGAAAAAATGGCTATCCCTAGAGAGAGAAAATAGATTTGAAAAATTTCCAGAATTCCTCTTCTTCTTCATTTTTTTGTAATATTTTTCAATTATATTTTCGTTCTTGTTTTGGACTTAGACATGCTTTTTAGCATGCTAAGCACTTTTGTAGTTGGAGAAAACAAGTAACAAAGCCATGATATAGATCTTTGTTTCTAGAAGTGTTGCAACTTTGTTTGTTAAAATTTTGTTTTAATTTTATACTTATAATTAACGTTATGTGTCTGCATAAAAATATTTTTTTTTGAAAAATATTGTTTTTGGATCTGGAATTGAATAGTGTGTGGTTCATTTATGTTCTTACATTTATCTTCCAGTATTCTCAGGACTGAGTTGCAACACACACTTAATTTAAGGTTTTGGAACTTTGAACATAATATTTCTAGAATCAGATCTTACATAGGAATGTGTAAGGTAGGATCTAAGAGATCATATTATGTTATAGGGGAATTTGAACTTATAACACTAAAAATTGGAGTAATAGATCATGTTGTATGTGATACTAGAATATAGCAATATGATAACATTAGTGGAGGAAACATGATCTCCAACCAGCCATCTCTCATTAGACTTTTTGCATCTCGAATATTGTTTGTCACATTTTTCAAATCTCTTCTCCTATTCTGGAAAACTCGAAACAGTTAACATTTATTGCTCTTTACCTTACAACATTTAATGTTCAAAAGTTGTTTGATGAATTGTTCTTATTCTTCATTCTTTGTATAATTGAATCTACTTCTCGAAGCCTAAATTCGAACAACTTTCTTTCTGGAAGGATAATTCAGGATTCGAAAGAATACTTTATTACTTGACACACATGCTCTTGCACAGTAATTACGGTAGCTTGTATTTCCCTTTTTGCTATAGAAACATTACACCAACGTCCATCTTCTATCATTGAAGAGACACTTTTTACATAAACATTCTCATACTA